CCCCCCCCCCCCCCCCCCCAATGCTGCCTCAACAGGCTCGGTGCTGGCATCGAGGTGCACGAAGCCACGTGCAATGACGCTCAGACCTTGGGCGAGCTACTGAACTTGCATTGTTACCGAAGACCAACAGCAATGAGCTAAGAACCCTTGGCCCAAGCAAAGCTCCGCACCACTGATCCGAAAAGAATCGGCTGGGACTACGGCGCCTCGCGCATGCCCCATGAACACGAGCGGATACTAGCTTAGCTACATGCAACGCAGCCATGCGCAGCCCTCGCTGTGTGCCGGGCCATCTTTGCAAGTATAAGAGAACATGACGTCGGGCCTTACCAGTGATCTGGGAGTACGGGGAGTGCGGATGCTGCGAAGAAAGGCTCCCTGCCTCAACTTCGGTCTTCGCTCGTCATGATCGTCCAAGAGCCGTGGCAGCCAGGTTGCAAGTTTGTCGATAAGTGATCGCGTTGTGCCACGGCCCATCCCATACCAGCGGTAGGCAATCATGGTGTTTTGGAAGTTTCGGGGTGCCAGGGACCGAACGCGCACGGTTCGCTGCAGCTCTTTGGCAGCTTCATCGAACAAGCGGTGATGCCGAAATCTTTGTCTTGCATAACACCACACAAGGGTTCCCAAACCGCAACGATCCAGGGACGGAAGCAAGCCGTTGCAGAAGTGGTCTGCGGCCTGGTCGAAGAATGTCTGTGCACGCACCCCTGCTCGAGTAAACGTCCATAAGAGGTACACAAGATTGATTGGATGGATCCGTTCAAGCCGCTGGCTCGCAACTTTGGCGACAGCCTCAAAGAAGCCTTGATGAGCGAACATCTTCTTGTTCTTCTCTGTTTCGGCGGCGAAGTACCCGTACCCCTTGCCGGACCCGCGTCCTCCACCCTTTCCCTTCCCCTTACCTTTCTCACGATCCTCGATGAAAAACCAGAACGTGTTATACTGGTAGTCATGCCACGAAAGCACTCGAGGAATGAACATCTCATATTCCCAAACTGCACGCCGAGCCAGGATGTCATCGGAAAGCTGCAAGCGCCGAAGCTCATCAGGATCTTGCAGCTTCTGACGAAGCTCTTTGATCGAGAGATCTGCTGCAGGACCTTCCATCTCCAGTGGCTCCTCTGTTTGGCGCAGCTCTTTGGAGCTCTGACTCGATGATGGTGGATCGAAGCAAGTCTGCTGTGTTTCGGTGTTGTACCAGTAGGGTAGAACTCCAACTTGAGGATGCGTGCGCCTTTCGATCCAACCATCTGGCCAAGCCCTAGGCTTTTGAAACCATTCCCAGTATTCCTGGAACTCTTCTTCTCCACCTCCATCTGTGCTCATAGCTGGCAGGTCCTCGGCCGCAGTCGGAGAGCTTCGTCCCAGCCGCACCGAGGACAGCGAACGCCTTGCAGCTGCCAGGGCTCCTCGCAGGTTTCGACATCCTGGCCCCACACAGCTATTCCGTTCCAGCCGGCTGCGGCGCACGCAACGGGCCAAACAAATCGCTGGGGCAATGGAGCCAGCGCAGCTCCATGTGTAGCTTCCAGCATCTCGTAGCTGCTCCTTCTGGTTTCTTTGAACCTCTCTCCTGCCAGCAGGGCTTTCTGAATCTCTGATATGCACCAGAACAAACTTTTATAGAGTTTTTCAGTCGCGCACTTCTCTAACTGCTCTGCATTATTTAGCATTTTCTGCTGCAGGTGGTCCTCCGGAGCAGAAAGGGCTCCCAGGACGAAACACGCCCAACTTGGACTCTCGGATGATTCATCCGCAGAATCCCCGACATTGAAATCGCAGCTGACGTGCCCAGAGCTGCTAGGAATGGGCCGACCAACATTCGATTCTGGGTCAGGTTCATGAATGCGACTTGCAATATGACATGCTTCTCAAGCCTAACATTGCAGCAGCAGGCTTGAAAAGCAGGCTGCGTTGCAACGGAGATTGCAAGCACAGTGATCATGATTTACAAGCATGTTCCGGTGCTTTGAGAACTGCGCCGAGTGATCGCTACAAGTCGAAGAGCAACGAAATCCGTGCGCAGCAATGTTGCGACTTTTCGGTCACCTTACTCCGCTCCCATGAGATGCTCAGGACGACTCAACACCAACTGTTCTTGTCTGATGCTGTTGTGCTGATATGGGCATGAAATGGCATGAAGCGTAAATAGGAAGTGGAGCATGCTTCGGGGCGGCAGATCTTAGAATCTTGGTACGGTGCTGAAGGGCTGATGCCAATAGGCTACACCGATCCGCAGAATGTGCATCACTCTGCTCAACTCTGCTCGTAGAGGGATATTGCATAGCGACTCACCTGGCGCAGCTAGTGCGCAGCTTTGCGGAGCTTAAGTAGTAGGCATTTTTTTGGAGGCTGCAGAGCTCTGACGTCGTTTCTTGAGGATCCAAAGTTCGCCGAGGAAGCAAGTTGCGGGATGTCGCGCAGCTCGGGATAGGCCTCTAGTGACACTAGTGAACTAGGGCTTCGCAGCTCATGCTTATACCATCAACGGTGCGGAGACATTCAAAGGGCGTAGCCGCAGGGTCCTCGTGTAGGTCGAAGAACGGGATTGCCACAAGTTTGTCCTTGGTGAGGCTTGCAAGCTGATCTCAACAGGTTTCACTAGTGAGATTGCACATGCGGGTCGGCTGTCGTTCCACTAGGAATCCTAGCCTTGGAGGGCACAGCGAAAACACATCTCTGCGGTAGGCTCACCTGACTCAAACGGCCAAGCGGGCAAAGCATGGCAACGCCACTCAGAAAGAAGCTGTCAAGATACTCACTTGCCTGATAGACCTTGACACACTCTTTCGGTCTTGTAACATGCGGAGGCCTTGAGCGATGTTGGCATCCGCGAGCAAATGCTTTGCAAAAAAGGCATTGTGAACTGCTTGGGAATCTTTCTGAGGACGCCGCAGGTAAGGATAAGCGGTGCCATCGAAACTTGGGCACCACCTACGAGCTCAGGGCATGTCCAGAATTGGGTGAAGTTGGCTCTGTCCCCAATGCTGGGTGAGCCACCAAACGGAAAGCAAGTCACCAATCTTCCACTCGCAGACCTGCATGCGCCGACTCGGTCCACTTCTAAGTACGGCATTGGGGTCGAAGCCGTAACTTTCTTAGGTGGCTGCCATGTTTGGATCCGCATTGAAGATGAATCGTCGCATTTTTCGATTTAGCCTTGGCTCCCAGAACCCTTCCCTGATCACCTGGAAAAACGCCGGCTGAGTCAAATGCCCATCTTTCTCTGACTCCCCAGGCCGCAATGTGCCACCGGGAAGAGCATAGCCAGCTTCACCTTGAGGACTTCGCATCACATCGTCGTCTTTTTCCATCAGATCTAGACTCGGGCCCGGAATCCTGTAAGACAAGTGCTCTGCAAGGCGAGGATATGCGGGTGACAGTTGACCTTGGAGCTGACAGGCAGTCAAGATCGCCTACCGAGATTCACGCCGGGGCCATAGCATGCACAAGGAGGACTGCACGAACGGTTCGTCGCATGCCTGGGTCGCATGAAATCCCTGCAGCGTCTCCTGATATCTATTTAGCCTTCAGGTGTGGCCGCAGGGGGCATGTGCAAAATGTTCCACATGCGGACAGCAGGGCCTTCGCTCTCGTACTTTCGCTTCCGTCGAAGCATGAGCGGCTCGTCCTGCATAGGCCCAGCTTTCGTGATTTTCGTGCTTCGCCGACTGCAGGCTGTGCAGCCCTGCCTTAGCTGGCTTGGGCTTGGCCCCCTGAGTATCATAGCCTGGAAATGCATCAATCGCCGGTCTTGGCGTGTCTGCAGGCAGAGTCTTCAAGCCTGACTGCGGGAACAAAGGCCAATCCTTCCGGTCTAGCTCCATGATACAGCCTTGCTTGCAAGCTTGCGAGAAGCAAGGCAACACGACGCACCATTCTGCCAAGGGGCATTTCCAAGGGAAGACTCTCCCTCTGGATAACTGTGTTGGGTTGAGTGTGGCTGTGTGCGAATCTGAATCGAACTACGAGCAAGGGTCTCGTATCGATGCTTGTTTGCTCTCGGCCGGGAGATGTTCTGGGCGCATCTTGTTCGGTTTAGCATCCCGCACGAGAGTCTTTGTCGGACGATCCGAACACATTGTCGAGTGCCAGTGGAAGCTTGATCCGAGACCCACAGCAGTTGGCAATGCAAATCAGGCGGCAGACAAGCCCTACAATACACCCCAAGCTGCGTGCTCCAGCGTTTGGGATGGTTCAACATCCGGGGAAGAGAAGACCTGTCCGAATTGAAAAGAGGCTCGTCCTCTTTTTTTGGTCTAGCTTGACAAGCCTGTACCCCATGTTGCGGCGATGTCGCGACAGACCTAAAACCACCCAGCTGCTCACCCACAGGTGGCACTGCGCTTTGTTCGAGTGTGATTACCGTATTCATGTGGCATCCACACTAATCACCTTGCACAGCGCTCTCATTCTACCTAGCTGCACAGCAAAGAGCGGCTAAAGGTAGTGGCCTTTCGGGCCTGCTCCATCTGGCTGGCAGCTGGGAATGACGACATACTTTGGACTCTGGGTGCTTTGCCGGAGTTGTCGAGCAGTCCTTTCTGCTGGACTCTCAGCAGCTACCGTCTGGCTTGGGCTGATCTTGCTTACATAGCCAGGAAAATTTAGAGACAATTGAAAAAGTACTGCACCGCCACTCGCTGTAACCGTGGAAGGTCACCGTGGCTGTGAAATCATCGCGGTGATGGCGCGAAACAACGTCGCCTCACATGCCGTCGCGCTGACGGGAAGATCAGTATTCTGCATTTAAACCTCGCTGGGAACGATCCGTCTCCCTCAGAGTCTGCTGCATCGCTGACAGCTTACACCTGCGCGTGAACATGCTGCTGCTCACAGTCATTGATCATGACGTATCTTGCCTGAGGCTTTCCATCCTGAAGGCGACAGCACAGTTTCAGATGCCCACCATGTCTTGCAAGCGCCATCCGCCTTAACTTCTGCTTCTCCAGTATGTGGCCACCGAAGTCCTACACACGTGGCCGGGACTCTGCGTGTGTGTGTGTGCGCTTTTGTTGCACACATGCCTTTCTAAGGGTTTTGACCTCGGAAGCAGGTCAGGATGTGTCGAGGTTTCTTCGTAAGCCAACTCCTTCAAGTAGTCCAAGGCAGGGCTCTCTTGCAAAGCCTTGGCACGTCAATGTTGAGACATGCTGTAGCTGTAGCTATCTGGCGCAAGGTTTGGGCACATCCAGCGTGATCCAACAGCCCCGAGGTCGCGGCACGTCTCAGATGCTCTTCCTGATAGAGCCTCGCCATCATTGCCTCAGGAAGCGCTCTCCGTTCGTGTTCCTTCATCTGTGCCCTGACTCCCTCCAGCCTTCAGCCGGGGCCGGCAGAAGTGGATGGCGTCTACATGGATGCCCTTGAAGAACTTGAGGCACAGCTCCTGCTTTTCGATTGTAGCTCGATGTCTAAGCTCTGCAACAGGTGAGCCACCAGTCCCTGCAAGTAAACCATCGACATACCCTTCCGCAACGACTTTGCCATTCGCCAAACCAAGACACACAACCCATGTCAACCGTTGAAAAAACATCAAATTGACATCACGGGCTGAGAAGGGAATGTTACCGGGGCAGTCCTGGAAGGCACCACCTGCGTAGTTCTCTGCAGGAGGATGGAGACCTTGCTCTCTTGGCGGTCTTAGCGATTTTGAAACAAGAAACACATAACAATTTGATTACACAGGTTTACTTCAGCGAACATTATTGCTCGAACTGGCAATTACAGGAGCAAAGCCTCGTTCCTGCAACCACAGCCATGGCGAAACCTGCAGGGCCCCTGCATGGCAGGTTGAAGATCTGCTCAACTCGCTCGCGCTGTTCCTTTCGCAGGCGCAGCCCCCCTTCTCCCCATCTCAGCTGCACTTGGAGTGCCGACTTGCCTGGAGGTTCTCGTAAGCGGAAATAGTTCCGTCCACGCTGAGCCTCGCTCGGAAGCTTCAACGGAGCAGGATGCAAGTTGAAGTGCGCTCTCTCCCGATGCTTCCGTCGTAGCCCCCGAAGGCCCCGACTGTATGGTTCCCGGAGACTTCCCGTCTGCAGGGGAGATCTGGCGAGAGAGCACTGTAAGAGGCATAGGCATGCAGAGGCCACATGGCAAAACAAACAGGCCAAGAGGTCCACCACATTCTGCATCTGCTTGTATCGTGCCGACTGCCACATGTCCTTGAGCTCCTGGCCAAGACTTGGAGAAAATGTCTTTGCTTGTGGTTACTTTTGCCAGCTACTGTATCCTGGCTACAGGGCCGTCGGCTTAGCAGCTGACGACATTAGAGTGCTGAGTACACAAATAACACAAGGTCCGACACCCATTTTCCTGGTAGGCATCGCGCTGTCTGACGCTTCTTCCGTCGTCTTGAAGCCTGGTTCGTACGGCAGCCACATTCGATTCGAGCCGAAGCTTCAAACTTGCTGGCCGCATTTAAGCAGCCGACTCGAAGTGCTGCCGACGCAGCTTCTTCGCGTTCAAAGGAAACCTTCCATTCCTGGACGATCTGAGTCCGAGCATGCTCCGACAAGATCCGGTACTAGACTCTTGCAAGACACGACAGCACTTAAAGAACACTGCCGTCACAACATGCAAAATCCCTTGGAAAGCCGCAGCACCCATTGTGCCAAGGCAGCGGCAGGATTGCAAAATCCACCGGAAACAAGCCATCGAACTTCTCCTGGTCCAAAGTTACTTTCGCATCGGCCTTATCACAAAGCAGTTCTAACTCCGTTGCCATTCCTCCTGCAAATGCTGCTACTTGGTTTCCAACTCCATTCTCAATTATCATTGTTTCTAAAGGGGGCTGGCCGGGGAAGGGTGGGGACAACC